AAGCGGATACGATCGTCTGCGAATGCTTTGCCTGGCATGCTGGGGCAACATGCCAGCTTAATCTGAAAATTCTCCTGATATGCCTCATTGCCGTGGGCACCGTTCTGTTCATATTGCTCCTGTTCTGCATCCTCCTGATGTACATTAGACGAAAAATGAACGGTTCCCCCACACACAGTCCAATATTCATAACATCGAGCCTGCATCCTAGCATGCTGTCGGCCTCCACCAACAAATCGCGACTCACAACTTCGTTGATCCGAAGGTCCAGCATAGAGAATCATGCGATTATAAAGGACTCTAGCAGCGAATCTAGTCAGAACTCTGTTCCATATCTGCTCAAGGTAATTGCCAAGCAATACTTGTAGAAGAAAACTATCCAATATCACTTATCATGTATTGCCTTTGGTCTGCATAGGAAGCCATTGCTGTTAGCATGAAGAGAGAAACTGCCAAGGCCGTAAGCTCCAATAATGTCAGCGAGAGACCCAAGATGAAGTCGTATCGTAATAAATATGATGAGCTTGGTCTGACAGAAGCCGTTGATGAACAGCCCCTGCGATCGCACTCCAGACACCCAAATTTCAGCACCGTGGATGTAGTTAGTGCCGAGCAATCGGACCGATCGCTAACGGTAATGATACCGCGCGCTAAGTATTATCACCCCTCTGTACTGCCGCACACCCAGTTGATGCATCACCAACTCACTATGGAGAAGGTCGAGAGACCGAGTGTGCCTCAGAGGGGTGGCGATGATGCTCAGAGACATGCCTCAAGCGTCTTCATGAGTCCGGCCGAAAAATCGAAGCAGCCTAAGACGACATACAACAATGATAACTCTAAGGTTGGCTCTAAATTAAAGTAATGTGTTTAGCATTATAAATGAATTGTCTGTATTCGAATAGGATCAAGGAGCATTGGGACTGTCTTCGAAGGATTATGGCACACCAATCGGCGCACTAGTATCAGCCGGCTTTGAGGTATCGGCCATTGTGAGCGATCATGGAGCTGTCTCGAGTAGTTCTGGCCAAAACGTGATTCCTTTCGGCATCACGAGGCATGACAATTCAAAAGCAGGCTCAACTGAAACAGACAACGCAGCTCCTTCGGAGGGCGACCACACAATTTTGAATACAAGAGCCGGCCTAGAGGCCATTTTGCATTCAGGAAAGTAAGTAGAGCCAACCTGTTATCCATAATAAATAATAAATAATAAAATATAACTAAATATAAACCCCATTGCAGCGACATTCACAGAATGAGCACATGGATGAGTAATATGCAAACAAATGCTGTGTAAGTACCTTTTTGCTGAAGAACGCCAGAATCGGTTCAGAATCAGAAGAACTCCATTTGATTTCCAGTTCGGCCGATGCGCGCTCCTTCGATGAGACGACCGTCCAGGCAGTCACAAAATCAATGCATTTATGTTTCGATACGCAGACACAAACCAATACGAACGAGGTAAGTATTCCCGACAACATTTCCGGAGGGGAGGGCTCACAAACCATTGGTTTTTCAGGAAGCAAACACTATGACTGAGAGAGATCTGGGCTCAACGTTCCTTCTGCCTCACACACATCTTTACAAACCGGATAAGGTAAGCAATTCGATTAGAAATGAATTGAGTACATAACCATATGTACATACATATGTACTTATGTATGTTACTCTTCCATCGAATGCGGCAGGAAAGCGACATGTCTGGCTTCGATTCCATATGAGATGAGTTCCAGCAAACGCAGCGCTTGAGATTGAATTTGTAAATAGGCAGCCGCACTTAGGACCTAAGATACGCCACACATTTACGATTGAGTAAATACAAGTAGTTCAATTAAATGTTATTAAATCCAGCATACTAAGTATATGTATGTATGTACCTTTACTTACTCGTACATATGTACATACAAACACAAAGCTCTCTACCATGCGAAGCATGCAAAACTTCTTAGCTAAATTCCTCCAAATATCTCGATGTTAACGCAATTGTGTCCTTACCTGAGGTTAATTATGCAATAGGAAACAATCTGGTATTTTGTTAGAAACTTGAACTAAAACAATACAAAATTTATAGATTTTTTTCATTTTGGTTGCATTTTTTTGATTTTTTTTTTTTTTTTTTTTTTTTTTTTTTTTGATTTTGCAAAGTATGTACATCACCTACGCGTTTGCGCGAATACCGAGTTTATTTTAAGCCAAATGAATTTTGAAAAAGCATTTATTTATGAAACAAAATATCGTATGTAGTATGTTTTGGGTAGACGACGGAGAAGAAGAAGAGCGTCCATCATGCCAATTGTTTTTGTTTGTGTTATGTAATAGAATACAAATATTGCATTTATTGTATGTATTTATTATACGTATTTATTTATTTATTTATTATTTATGTATTTATTTATTTATTTATTTATTTATTTACTGTATGTAAACCAATTCTTGTGCCAGTTGCTTTGTTTGTAAGTCTCTGAAACGATTATAGTAATTTATTTATGTATTTAAATAGCAGATATACAACATGGTATATATCGGCCCTAAGTGAATGATTATTAAAAATGAAAAAAAAGGTCGAAAACCACAAATTTTGTTTCATTACCAAGCAGCGTCATTAAAATAAAGCCAGCGAGTAGGTTAGCGGTGCCAACGAACTATACGACTAGCTGTACCTGTACCTTTACCTGTACCTGTCCTGCCCGTCATTCCACCCTTTCAGACCAGGCTATAATCGACGATAGAGCGATAGCGATGGGGTGCAAGCTGGCGACAAGTGCCCGGCCAGGCCAAGGAGACTAAGGTCGCATATAGGGGTTGCTAGCTTCGGTCGTTGGTCGTCGATGGACGTTGGTCGATGGTCGGTCGGACGGTCGGTCGGTTATTCCGGCGCTCTATGCACACATATGTATTGTACGAATATACCATATATTCGTACGTACCAAAAAGTCAGGGGCGCTAGCTTATTAAAAACAGAGGCGGGGGCTTAGAGGGCTCATTCTATTCTATGGCTCTATGCAGGACCCTTCTGTCAATTCGGGCCTCTCAACAGCCCTGGTCCTGGCCGACTTGCGTGTGAGCGGGTTCCATAAGTTCCCCGCTTCCCGTTCTCCGTTCCCCGTCCATTTACCAGTGCATGTGCCTATGCCTGTGGCTGTGCCTGTGCCTGTATTATCGAGCAGAGGTCCGATACCAACTACTACGACTGACCAATTTCGCTAGCCAAATACTACCTACCACCTATCAGACACTCTTACACACCATTGTCCGTTCCATGCACCACGTTCCTTGCTCTATGTAGGGGGTGGGCCTGCTGACCAGAAGCACAGGTGCACAGGTGCTGTGACGATTCAAGCCACACAGTGTCTCTTGAGCGAACCGACCGAAATAGTTAGCTGAAAGTATTCGTCGATTCTCGTTACGCCGTCAGGGCTCTGGACATTAGAATAGTAATCGAAAAGCTTCAATTATTCTTAACAATAATAAAAAAACATCATTTTTTTTTTTAATCTTTAAACATATATGCCGAAATAAATGCGTACATAGATGTATTAAAAGTGTGTGCTTATAAATAACAGTTAACTGATTAAATGAATGATTAATAGATGGTGAAATTTTAGTTCGTTTTTTTTTTTGGTGAAATAATATGTGTGTGATTAAGTTTTAATTCGCAACCCATAACTTTGCTCAAAACAGTTTGAAGACAAATTTAAAGCTCGTCATTAAACATACATTCGTCCATGAGGAGGATCTTCAGATTTGGGCAAAAAGCTGCTTGAATTGATTAAGGACATACATATATACATTCATACATACATATATGTATAGAACAAACTTTATGTAAGTTTTTAATGGAGTTTATTGGTAAATCAAACACTAAACTTGTAAAAGGAAAACTTTCCGGAACTTTCTGGTTTGCCTATGAAGCGAAACTCTTGACTCTTACTAAATCGTGTCTCTGCTAAATCCACTTCGACATATTTGGTTGTCTGCTAAATATTGAAGTATAAAATTAAATGATTTTAAAAAGTATTTCTTGAGACTGGAATGACTCAGATATGGAAAAGTTTTCTCAATATATAGGACATGAATTACAAAAACATTTGTTTAGAAATGGCAAGGGTGGGTTTCAGAGTCGCGTACTGAATTCGCATGCGCCACTACACCCTTACGTCCACCGGCGAACCAATCACGTCACCCAAACTTCCCCGGACTGCTTGCAGAGAGAGCCAATGACGAACACGTTCAGTCCTTTGCCTTGCTGCCTTGCTGCCTTGCTGGGGTTGGCGTTGTGGGTGGGGGTGGGGGTGGGGTGCATCCCTTCTTATTTACGGTCGGAAGTATGTAGACTTGTGGCTTATAAGAACAAGTGAGTTTCCGATTTTGTATGTATATATGTGGATATACACCTATTGTGGTTTTTCATTTGTCTTGAAAAACCACATATGCCTATGTCATTCAACTGTTGTATAACATACGAGTAACCCCATAATATCGTTTCTTAGAGAACCCATAGACTAGCATTTGACTGCGCAAAAATATGGAAACATAGTTCCATGTGTGTCCGTCCATAGATTGTAAATATCTGATCAAGCAGAGCTCCATTTCTTTCAATTTCAGTTTTCTTACTTTATAGATTGGGGGCATAGCAGACCCAACAGAGTTTGTATCTATATTTATAGATTATTGTTCAATAGACTATCTATTAATGCCACGAACTCCCAAAACATTGGATGCACTCCAGAATAGTAATATATTTCTTTCGAAGCCGAAAAAGTACAAATTTAGCTTAGCTCCCATAGACTGTTTTGTCCTACTTCTAAATCGGGGTGCATCTTTCCACACACTATTTACGTAATATATAATCCAAGAAGATTTCAAGATGAAGATAAATCCCAAGTTTTTGTTATCTACTTCTTGTGATACGGAAGGCCAACAGACGAAACAGGGGACGAAAACTTAGAGTATTACAAATCCAGCAATTTATTGAAACTATACCATATACCTCTAGAAACAATGATTGCTCAAGGCCTACGAAAACGGAACCATTTCGAAGCGACCGAGTCCCAACAGGCCGACAGCGACGCCACAAACACAGCTCAGCCAAAGATCAGAGCTTTGATAATCAATCGGGAAGCGGACGACTCCGATGAAGAGCGAGAGCTCACAAATCTTAATTGGCTCTTACGAAACCAGAGCTTGACTTGGCCAAAAACAATAGATGAGACCGTTCCAGATGATGAGAATGTTCATCAAACTGACTTCAATGTAACAGAAGCGGCAAATGAGGGAAGTCGGCAGAAACAACACCAAGGAGAGAACCCGCGTCAACAGCCAACAAAAAGCAAGCACTCCATAAGGGCTCTGGTTGCGTTTCCAACTCAAAACAAGCATCCGATTGCCTCACAACAAAGTTCACCATCAAAACGTCCGACTCCAGCAGAGCGTTACGAAATTTTTATCAACAAAATCAAACGGTAAGCTCACAGTCTGTGCTGATCTTTAGCGGCTCCATACTAAGTAATCGTTCACGCGCTTACAGCGATTTGGCGGAATATGAAAAGTCGGCAACCAACTATGAGACAGACGTAACTGAGAAGCCACCGTTCAACTATTCCCATATTATTGGCATGGCCATGCTTGAGAATGGACGTGTCACACTTCAGCAAATATGCGCGTGGATTGAATCGAAGTTCGCATTTTTCCGAGTCCGCAAGAAGTGGAATGTAAGTAGTTTGGAACCAATTATACGAGATTGACAGCTACAAACACAATGGCAACAACTCAAAACGTATTTATTAGTTCCGCTTCAAGTGATATTGCTTAGGCGCGTGGTATGAGAATTTGCGGAGGAGGGTGTCAGGCAAAATAACCGCTTCTGCATTTTTTAACAACAATATAATATAATCTTGTAAGGCATGATGTTGAACAAATGAATACTTAATTAGCCATGGGATTGTAGAAGCTACGGTCGGATGGGCAAATAATTTGCACACAAATTATTAGAATTATGAGTGTCTTCAAATCAAATTCATGAAAAATGTATGCAATACGACAAATTTATGTGGGAAAAAGGATTGCTATTTATTATTCAGCCAATTTTTATTGATTCTGACCTAGCACCTTCTGTATATTTCAGAGAAGACAAGCGTGAATTAGTAATTTTAATTATTTTCAATATAAGATTAAGTAATTTTCTCTAAAACATTATTTTATTTTCCCCAAATATATACTCTCTGAGCAAGCTTTCAGAATAAAAAAGGTAATCCACAATCAACCAAAAGTTTCCAATTGGATCGATCCAACTGGTTTTGAGAAATGAGCAATAACTCTAAACGGATATATCCACTACTTTATCTGAATGAGTAGCACATTCATGTATAGCACGGAGCCTGTCAGATCTCCTTCTGTCCATTACAAATATGCCTAAGTCAAAACCTTTGCAAGGACAAAACATTGAGCACAAAAAAATTTCAAAAAAAAACAGATGTGGAATCAAAACATATTACCTTCGGATAGAGTGCTTCGTATTTTGCAAGAAGAATACTGCATACGGAAGATAATTCCAACAATGCCAATTGGCTTTTTATACCCTATACCCGTAGGGTAAAAAGGGTATGTTAGGTTTGTGCAAGGTATGTAACAGGCAGAAGGAAGCACCTCCGACCCCACAAAGTATATTCTGAATCAGCGTGTCCGTCTGTCCGTCCGTCTGTCTGAATGAACGCCTGGATTTCGGAAACGGCTGAGCGTACATTAACCAAACTTGATATGCAGACGCTCCTAGTTCCTAGTCTATGCGAGTTTATTTTAATTTTTTTTTTATTTGAACTTTATGTATAATTATGTACCTTCGTTTTAAATTTCATCTAAGAAAAGTTATTAGCGCAACAATTGCACTCCGGTACTACGCCCACAAGCTGCAGCATCAAGTGCGCTCTTCTTCCTTTTGCTTCTGCTAGAGGCGCATATACCTCAGTGTCGGAAGTTTACCTGGGTACAGGGTATTTCACTGTCGGGCGTGCTCGACTGCACCGTTCTCTCTTGTTATTTCTATCTCTTAGTACGATGAACGAGCAAACATTAAATGAAGCATTTATTTTGCATTTTTTAAAAGTATTATTATATATTTCACACAAATATTCCAAAACTTATTTATCACTTGAATTACGTAACGCTTAGAAACGCAATTTAAAATTTCATAATTGGCCATCGAAAATAATTTACAACCACTTTGCGCCCACTGGAGAAGGCATCGTTGCCAGTCGCAAATAAGCGGCACTGCCAACTGCAATTTTAATTTAAATATCAACTTAGGCAGAAATGGCGCAGTTTATGTGAACGAAAAGAAAAATTCATTAAATTTTGTATTGCATTTTGTTAATAATTGTTAATTTGTTATTTATTCCTGAAAATTAATAACAGTTTCATTTTATGTAACGTCCTTTAGAACTCCATCAGGCATAACTTGTCGCTGCATCATTGTTTTCGTAAAATCGACCGGAAGCGCGAGGAAAAGGGAAAAGGCGGGTATTGGGAGTTGGGCGTGGATCCAAAGAAATGTGATAGGAAACGCATACGAAATCGGAAAACAGCGCAACCCAAGCAGACCTCAGTCCAAAGTGTGCTAACGGACAGTAGCCCACTGGATCAACAAGCTCGTGAGCTCGAAGCAATGCCTATCTTAAATGTGGGTGGTGTCAGTGAAAACGAGGAGGAATTGGTCGCAGTCGCCCAAGCGGCTGAGACGGTCTATAGCATTTTTGATGAGCACGACCAGCAGGTGGCATTAATGACGCCGTTGCCCACTTATGCACAGCTAGCTGAGAAGGCGACCATTAACCAAACCCTGCAGTCAGAGCAGCAACAGCAACTCCCCGATCGAATCGATGTGAATTTGTCCAGCGTGCCCATCTCTCAATTAGACAATGGCGGGGGCGTCGCCGCCTCATTTTGCTCCGAAGCTTTTCCCACGACCATCGAGAGTGCAGGTCTGCAACAGCAATATGAACTGGGCACCATAATTATAAGCACTACGGGGATCATTGACGACTCGACGACGGCGGCTGGCCTCAACTATCTAATCTCTGATAAATTTGGCTGTCCGAGCATGGTTTGAAAACTCATGTCCTATTCCAATCAAACAGACATTCTCACAGCGCGATTTCTTTGCAGATTTACGCCGAGGATGAGGTACCGCCGGCTAGCGAGAATATTGTCATATCATCGCATATGTCGACAGTGCTTGCTTCGGTTACGGATGACATGGATGCCAATATGGATGTGGATGGGGCTTTGATAGCACCTGCCGTCTCGAGCTCCGAACTGTTGAGCGGTTCGGAGACTTTCCCAATTTCAGCTGGTAGTCTGACTATTAATTGCGATTACGCCAATTTCCGCCCCTACATGGATGGCATCGATGAGCCATTCCAATACCTCCACAGCACAGAGATCAATCGGAATGAGGACATCTTAGACAACCTGCTTGACGTTTGTGTTAGAGACTATTGAATGAGACCAAAGTGATTGGCTCGTACTTTAAGCACTCGTAAGCAATAAACAATAAAAGCAATACCAAATCTATATATTAATAGTAGGCAAGCGTTTTTCTTTAGATTGTATTAGACCGATTGGGGAAAAATATATACATACCCCTTGAGAAGTCAGCACAAAGAACGATTTGAAAATGTGACTAAAACAGTGATAAAGTTAGATGATAGTCGACTGGTAGGGGTTCGATATTTGTGATGCAATGGGGAGACCAATTGAATAAGAAAATGTTGCTTAGACGTGAAAGACATGTACATTTTACAACAAAAAGAAAAACGATAATTAGATAACCAAATAATCAATGGTAGTAGGCTCTTAGGTCCTTTGCATTATAAACGCAGTGAGTGATTTAATTAACTTTATTAAAAATAGTAAATACATAATTACATTGCGTGTGTGTTTGTTTGTGTTCTACATAGTAGCCTATGTATGTATGTACTATAAGATTCTACACTTAGCTTAAATTCTATGTATGTATGTATGTTTATATTCGTATGTATGTGTCTGCGTGTTCCTTATGTAAAAGTCCTTATGTGTGCATGTATTCAATTTACAAAACGGCGTGTACTTATGTGAGTTCAGTGAAAGGAGTCATTGATTGAGTGAGGGGGGTACTGTTTAAAGATAAGGAGGGGATTCAGGGCTTATATTGTGCATAAATGCACATATATGTATGTATGTATATCCAATCTAAAGAGTCGAAATTCTAATGTCACTTCTACCTTAGCTGCACGAGTTTTTTGTAGGTATTATCGAAAATTTGTTTGGGGGGCATGCGGAAAATGATGGGGAAGCGAGTGTGTCCTAATACTGAGGAAAATGTTTGTTGGGTGATTTAAGATAGACGGTGAATAGGGCGGAATAAGGTATATGTATGCTATATAGATTTGTAGGCAAGAAGTTATTAGCATGCCTTCAATTGTATCATATACACTGAACAAAATAAAAGTTCGCAATCGGTAATTGATAATCGGTAATGGGTATTCATAAATGCATGTATATATGTATACATATGTATGTAATCAGTATTTGCGGGCAATTTGCATAAATATTGGAATGAGTCCCACTACCACTTGTAATTGAAATATTGCGAAAATCCTTATTATAATACATATCACATGTTCTAAAATACTACGCTCAGTATGTTGAGCAAAACGAAAGGGGGAAGATCTACAATATGTATTTATTTATGTATGTATGTCTGTATGGCATCCATCAATTGAAGGTGGCAAGCAAATACGAAATGTGTATGTAGAATTATTTCCACATCTCGGACATACTACTTTACCTTCACAGGCAAAGGGTAGACTGATAATTTTTGTACCAAAATTTAGAGTCTACTCTCCTAGGCAGGAAAATGCCATAAAAACCAGATGAAGAAGCAGTTTTCTGAATTTATCATCAAACTGTCACTCTAAATATTCCGTGTGTGTTTCACTTAAATGCCGTGACAATCCAACATTATAATTGCTCGAGAGCAGCGTGCAAGTGTGTGCGAGCGAGACAAGTAACTAATAATGTACAATTTGATTGGCTCTTTCTCTAAAGACATAAAGTGTTTGCTTTTTTAAAAGTAAAGTAAAAATAAATAATTAAAAAAAAAATACAATACAAATATTAAAAGAGAATATATATGTATAAATAAATGTACTCATATATGATAAATGCACGTACGTTGTGATTATAATCATCAACGACTGCGTATCTCATTTGCTGTCTCTTATAATTAAATATGACGGTCTCGCTCGCACCATTTGCTGTCGCCTGATGCTAATGCTGCATTATCACGACTGTGCTAATCGGATACAGATGGAGATGGAAATAGAGATGGAGAGAGGAAATGGAGATAGAGATGGAGGTAGAGAAGGAGCTGGCATGTGTATCCAACATCTATTCTATTAAGTAGACTCGAGAAATTCCCATTACAAATGGGTAATACATGGGAAGTATGTATGTATGTATGTTAATGGATGTGCATGTATGTATGTATGTAGACGTGTATATGACTAATTCTAACCTTAACATAATATAAAATTCAATATAAATGCAATTAATATTGGCTTTAACAAATTTGTGCTCAATATCAAGCAGACTTTTCATTTGTTTACTCTTTACTAATTTATCCTTTTGCTTATGTTTTTTTTTTGTTTGTTTGTTTGTTTGCTGTGTTGCATGTTTTGTGTAGAATTCAGTCGTAAAACATATCGATGCTATGCAAGGGTAAATATGTATGTATATAAATGCATTGGCATATTTACCATGTATACATACATGTATAGAAATACATAAATGCATATACATATATGTATACATATATATGTATATTTGTGTTTGCTTGTGTGAGAGTGAGTGCCTGTGTAAACGCTATACCGATTCGAGATTAACTGTTCTACTGTCTTTTGATTAATTGTATTTGTGATGTGGTGATTTGTGCTCATCATATGTATATCTTGTCCTGCACACTTCTGGCTGAAATTGAGGTCGAAGGACAGTTCGCGTTTGCAATACAGGCTAGTCATACGACTGCTAAAGCTATATAGCTTTTCCTACATCGTTCGAGATTAGCTATTAGCCTATATCCTTACTTGCAGTAAGTACAAACATTGACGCCGCATACCTCCTCTTCTTCTCAGAGTTGTACAAGACAGTACCAAGCAGAGACGCCTTACTCGATATGCACCATTATGAGAGCGTGAAGTTAGAGATTATTGCATTGGCACATGTTGAGAATCGGGACCGCGTCTAAATTGAAAAATATAATAACGTTTATACAGTGCCCTTGCGTACGGACGCAAAAAGCGAATAGCGTAATTCGCATTGTGAACTCGAAGATGAGATTGCGATTGAGGTTAAGATTTGAGAGTTCGACATGTTCTTGTCAGCATTTGGAAGTGTCCTCGCCGTCCAGCGTGCAGGCAACGTTCTGAAGTTTAAGGGATAGGTTCATTTTTTTACAATTTATGTCCGACTGAAGAGCATCCATTATCTGCACGTAAGAAACAAATATTATAAAAACAAACATTCTATACGAGTTCTTTATATTTAGTATTCACTTACTTGCTCTCTATACTTGGTAATATAAATGTATAGTTCCTTCAAAGCCGATATTGTATCGAACTCCTCAGTTTGTTGCACGGATAGCTGTTGCATGGCTGTGTTCATTTCCTGATCACTTATTTGTGGCAGTCGCGCGACATCGCGATAAAACTCCTTGACCATCTTTCGATACTGTGGTATATCCTGTGAAACGAATGAATTTAGTGTTGCACAAATTTGTTGTTATTAGAAACAAACCTTTGCAAAGAGTAACTTATTTGAGGGCGAGTCCTTGCCCAGTCTATGCTCTGTTGTCGAGCAGGCATCCATAAACGTTTGCGCTATGACACTAAGGCAAGAATCCACAGCGTATGTTTTATTCACATCAAATATAAAGTCGGGATTTTTAATAAAGTTCACCCAAAAACGTAGTGGCAAACTGTTCGATTTCCACGCATGCAGAATATCTGAATCGGCCAGATCGTGCCTTCGAGCCGCCTCATCCAGCAGATCGAAGAGCCATTTAACTGCCGGTGGCAGTTCCTCGTTAACAGTCAGGATCGTTGCGAAGAAATCGTCGACGTACTTCTGTATGGTACCTTTTGTAGCGAGCAGGCGCGTCAAGTACACTTCAGGTATGGTTTTGTTCACACGCTCACTGCCACTGATGCAATGTGCGGCTGGAGCCCCAGACAATGTGCCCGACATTGCCGAGTTCTTGATGTTCATATAGTGGTCGGGTATTACGGGTTTTACTAGATGGTAAATGCGCGGCTGTTGCAGCCCCGATTCGATATCGTTGTTGATTATAATATGACTCTGTGAGTTGTTAATATAGTAAACTGTAAAAGTCAGAATGCAATAACGATTATTCATTGTAATAAAGGCTGTTCACAGTATTATATGCGACTGAAACTTACAATTGTGATACGGAGGCTGCTGTTTGCTGTACGGCATATTATAGCTGTCAATTTGGCGGGCAATCAGCGACATTACCGCCGATTCCTTGACGCCATAGTGCGCCAAAGTGTTAAGTCGCTTCCAACCGTTAATGGTCTTGGTGGTAAGATCTTCGTCTTGCAAAGTCAAATGTCCTCCGCGACCGTGGCGCCATTCCAAATCAACTTCATGTACCGAGGGGCGCATGGAGAATGGCGTGTTCTTGAAAATGGCATCGAGAATCTTCAGCTTCACCTGTGATATTGTGTCCCAGTCATTCACACGACACTGCACCTTCTCGTCGAGGTCGTCCTGCAGAATGTGTAGGATGACAACCGAGTGGGTGACCTGTTCATGCAGCAAACGCTCCTCCGAGAGCGAATAGCGTGCATCGTTGGTTATGGCATCCACCAGACCCTTCTCCACCTGATGCTTAATGGCCTTAAACAGCAAGAAGAGACAGGATCCGGCGTATTCCTTAAGATAATCGTACATGCATATGGCCAAGTAGTTGCAGAGCATTTTCTCCACTACGCTCTCAGTGCGTCGCAGCATCAACTCTGGGTGCTTGCTCGCCAGAGTCTTATCGATCAGACGCAATAGCAACGATTTTAATATCTCTGTTGCATATTCCATCTTATTCATGAGAACGACCATCAACAGTGAGGCGACATTCACGCGATCGCGTATGTTAAACGAATTCTGACCCTCCAGGGTTTCAATAAAGGTGAGCAGAAAGTATTTATTGCTAATAAGCTGCTCGAATTGCAGCATGGCGGCATCGTAATTCGTCAGCGGACTATTGCCACGCAATTTCGGGGAGTTAAGAATGGGGTGATCCGATACGCCTGGGAAGAAAACCTTCATAATGTAATTGACATGATCTAACGTCGGGATTCCCGTGCTCTCCAGATCCGCAAACAAGTCTGTCATATCGGTCTGGAGTTCGGCGAATGCCTGTTTGCATTCTGAACGCACATTGCTCTCCAATGTGATCATCTGTATCTGAATGCGTTTGTACTCACGCTCAGCCTGCGTTGACTTACGACTGTATATGAACAGGGCAACGAAACAGACACAAACAATAATGATCACTGCAACGGCGATCCAAGGCATGGCATGGGAGAATGAGTAGGGCTTATTTAGATCGTAGCGCAAGTAGCCGATGACGAAGCGCAAATTGCGACCCACCTTTACGACAACTAAAGGCAAATCAACTGGCTGATCCACTCCATTCTCGTCTGTGGGCAGTGGTTGCTTCTCTGGCGGGATGCAGAGCAGTTGCGAGAGTGCCAAGCTGGTGATATTGCATTGTGATGTGCCTATCGTAACATTCACGTCGTATTCATCGGCCGCTAGATTTAAGAGCTCTCCTTCGATGACCAATGTGTCCCCTTTGTAGAGCTTAACACCATCGTTTGGAAATGGAAAATATTTGGGATCAGCCACATACACAATTGTGCTACGTATATCATGAAAATATTTGTTCAAATCGCGAACCAGCTGCACGTTATCCATCACAAAACTGAGCTGCAGACTCAATTGAGTTTCATGTACCTTCACAAAGGCCGCTACGTCAACGTTGTTGGATGAATAGTAGCTAGAAGCCGTAGCGCCTGCATTGCTCATCGTCGTATAAATGTGGAAATTATCACTGTACGGGATACTTCGTTTCCTTACGACTCCTGAGCCCGTTGGTGGAGGTGAGTCCTTGTCCGGCGATTGTGCCATTTGTATCGAATTTCGTAGTAATTGGAACTTGGAGTTGACAGGTGGGGAAGGACACTCCATTTGGCTGGTATTAATTACCACACAGGAGGTCTTGTTCACGCGTTCACTATCGAAATAAACCTCTAGTTCTGGCTTTTGTATAGAGTCCAAGTACATTCCGTGTACTGTTAGAATACGTCCTCCGCTTATGAAACTACGCAAAGGTTTTATTTGCATAATGCGTGGATCCTGAGTATAATTGAAAATGGAGCAGGGCCTTGGTGGCGGCATATGGTAATGGTAGGCGTAGTTCCCCCTTTGTGGTGGCAGTAATTGTTGTTGATTGGAGAATGGTGGCAGTGGCGAATTTTGGCAGGTAAATGTACGATTTGCTCCATCGACGACCAAACGAAGTGAACGTATAGGCTCTGGTTGAGTGGCCTCCGAAGTGGTGCAAGTTAGTCTTGAGGATGAGGCTTGTGTCACATTGATATGACACTCGTATTCATCGAGGAATGCTCTGATGTTCGAACCAATATTAAGATACTTTCCCATCAGCGACAATTGCGTGCCGCCAGATTTGGGACCAACCGTCGGATATAAGCCAGTCAGTTGAACATCCTTGAAATGAAACTGTACGCTGGACTCGGTGTAGCCCGCCTCGTTGGCCACTTTAATTGGCGCTGACATCTCATGGGCCGCCGCCCCAGTGCGACATTCAATTTTCACAGATATCTGATAATTGACCAGTTCGCAAGGCACTGAACCAATGGAAATTTTTCCACGCACGTCTTCTTCGCGTATTCCCAAATTACTTCCCTCAATAGTGACCAGAGTGCCACCTTCAACGGGTCCAGAAAGTGGCTTAATAATGTCAATTCTCGGACGTGGGCATTCATTTTGCCGCAACGGCGGATTGGCAATGGCGTTAAATGCACCACCAGCCGAGCCATCGATCATGCCGCCTTGGGCACACGTCTCATTGTACACGCAGGAATTCCCACACCAGGCGCACTGATATTTTGGGTCTCGAGTTACGCACAAGCTGCAATCGGCGTGCTCGCGATGCGAGCCAAGCACATCGCATTTGTAGAGGATAACGGTAGCCGTATCCACATAGTGCTGACGATTCCATGTAATGTCCACCTTAGCTTCGTACTCATGAGTATTGGTCTCATAGAAGTAGAGCGTTTTCTCGCAAACGACCACCTTATTGGACTCAATGCGAGCCGGCAGCAACATTTGAGCCGCCTCTATTTGGATAGTGCAAAGGAAGCCCGCATGCGCACTTTTCGGCTTAGGCAGATTCTCAATCTCTAGGCGTATCTCCTTAGGCACACGCACCGGCAATAAAATGGGCTCCCTGGTTCGCTTCAAGTGCGGACACTGACCCTCACCACTAATGGGGTTTTCCATATTGCGACACTGATCCGATTTGTGCACACATTTATTATCGAATATGCACCAATTGCAACCCCATGAGCTGCGCACGCAAGTCTGACAAGTGCTGTGATGAGAGCAATTAAAGAAGGCAAAGGATCGCGAAACGAAATCCTTGTTGGTCTCGGAACTGCGCACGGACAATGGCACCAGAACGTGATCCATATCGCTAGCGATAATAGGACGTTGATCAATAGGAGGGGTGGCACAAGAAAGCCCATTCTCCAAAACTTCTGCATCGATGGGCGTTGAATTGCCAAAAACACATCGGTACTTGGCATTAAATGGCTCCGGCAGCGTCCTTATTATTAACTGAACCTGTGTCAGTTCGGTAATGGGAATTTTGTCAGGCACAATGGACTCGAAGTCAATGCATTGCTGTCCACTGCCCAGTGAAAGCCAACGCGATGCTGATGTGTCCCGCTGACATGTAGAACGTACCGTGCAGCGTTTCTCTAGCGAACACCAACCGCAGAAAGGATCCCGAGACTCTAGGCATGCCGAACAGTTTGTATACACCGAACAATGTTCGATGCGCAATTTGGATATCTTCCGTTTGGACAGCACATAGAGGAAGTCCTTCTTGGGTGACATCATAGTGTTGGGCAAGATGCGATTGCCGGGATCGACGATAATCTCCTCGTACTCACCAGGATTTGAGCCGGACAACAACACCTTCTTGATGGTGCCAGCTTCGGTCCCTAGGAAGGCCAGCGAGTGTTGCCCTGTTGTTGTGGCAGTAACTGACGTCACGGATACATCGAAATGGAAGAGGGCATGAGCCGTCACAGGTGCCACACCACTTATTTTCAATCCTACGAAGCAAAAGTTGAAAATATTTCCTAATGATCCGACAATTGGACAGCGTCCATCGTTTATTGTGCCAGATATATAGCCTAGATTGCGATCTTTGATTGTGCCATTAAAGCACATGTGTATGTTCTCTATAAACGCATCTTCAATATCTTTCAAACTGTAGATACACATGGCTGATTTATCCTGCGGCTGATCGGTGATCTCTTTTGATGGTGAAAAGACCGTAACAAGTACATGATCATCCCGCTTTATGCCCATTTGGTGTGCCAATTTCTGGCTAGCATGTGTTATCTTCGCGTCACGTAATATATTGTAGTCTGTATGATCGTCGGTTGCTGTGCATTGAATTGTGATTTCAGTATAGCTGTCATAATTCGGATCTGTAATGCATATACGAGCTAGACGTGTTATATATCCAGCCTCTTCGGCCAAATGCGATTTCTTTTGCACCAGCACAAAGTACGCATACTCCGAAGAGTTGAATCCAAATACATAATCAACCAAAAAGTGATCACGATACTTGACATCGATGTTAATAATTGACTGTGATATCGAGAATTCGGCATAATTAAGGTCGTCTAGACGACGGGAAGAAATGGCAGGCACATCATGACGGTAGTCACCAACATTGGTGAATGTGGTGCCAACATATAGTATGTCTTCCTCTTTCCATGAATAACGAGCGGGCCCTACGAAGGCATACGTTGTGGCATATTCATCGTTAGCAGCCACAGGCACTGCGATGAATTGTGGCGCAGCTGGAAATCGTGGCAGATTGTAGATTTCACAAGCACCTGAAGAGGGAAGCAATTAATTTTAGTGTAATAGCCAAAGTGCGTCATTAATGGTTACGGCTTGGGACTTACCTTGACGAATACTGCCACAAGATATAAGAATTCCATCGTTATGCGCATAGCTTACAATTAACACTTTGTTGTAGTTGTTCACGAGCGTTGTTTCAACATCCTCGGGACAGCCACCCGCATGACATTGTGGAGCATCGTGCTTCGGTCCTGTGATTGCTTGGTTAAGCACTCGCAGATTTTCATTTAATTGCAGAATTTTATTTGTGGCACCTGCGTAGAACACATTCTGCCTACTGTCAAAGCTCAGATGAGTAAAATAGTTCTTTGACTGGGCATTTGTCCCAGGCAATGCGCCAGCTCCGGCAGCGCCAGTCCGATTGACAAAGCTCGTCACCGTCGACGTGGATGTGGAACTGGGTCCAAAGGCATTGCCTGCGATTGGCGGCAGAGCGAATTGGGCGACAATGTCACTCGAGGAAAACTGCTGCGTCTGTTGCTTTTCCACATCTTGAGGTGTTACTTTCGCACAGTAAGCGGCATTTTGTATTCGACAGCCCCAAAAATTTATGACGCAAAATCCATACAGAATCAATATGCATTTCTGTAACATGCTGAATGATAAATGGTGGTCGTTGTTTCAGACTAATGGCTTCTGCTGATTGCTCCTTGCCGTAGTCGAGGCGGAGACAGGAGATGGAGGCGCTTTGTTCTCCCTTCTATACCAAGTGGCGCATTTGCTGCGACAGCGGGTGCGGGGTGTGGGTTATTCTGTTAGCTTTTATGTTGCTTTTTTCAAGCCATTCTGATTTGTAGCATAGTTGTTGGTGGCTTAAGTGCACTCGCGACTATTAGTTTTATAAATGAATACACAAACACTTTCTTATTTACATAGATTCTGAACAAAACAGCAGCACATAATGCAAAACTCGAAATTTTGTCTTACAATTTTTGTCACGGCAATCGAGCAATGTGTACTCTGGAGTATGTACAGATGTTGGTCTAGGGAGGTATCTAAAAAGCCAATGGCTTTTGCATTAGCACCTAGCACGAAATTATTAAAAAAAAAACCGAACGTAAATGCAATTGCAACAACTACAAAATTAATTTAATCGCGACTGCGATGATGATAATGTGTATACTCATTTTGTTGGCATTTCGAGCACTAGGCGTTAACGGGCACTGTGCAGCACTGTTCAAAGGTAGGGTTGCATTCAATAGTGTGCGAGCCAAGACGATAATAACGATTGTGCAACCGTACTAATAAAAGGTCGTTATAAATTTACGTATATCGTTTTATTTTTAAATAAATTGCATATTGCTCATGCGCAGGGAGCTTTATAAATGTAGTGTGTTCTATGCACAATATCGCTAGCGATAATTTGATTTCAAACTCTGCAACGGATGCGCCGATATAAATGGTTATATTAGCTATTAACTATACAGATCCAGTATAGCTTATGCAAGGTGCGTTTCAAAGTAAACACGACTTTTTGAATCTGGTGCCCCCTGGTGGCGCTATCTATATGTCGACTGGTGCGTTAGAATCTGGAAGTGAAGTTATTGCGTTTTAAGTGTCAGTATGTTTGTGTTATCGGTGCGAAAATGAGATTCGAACAAGGAGCCAACATTAAATTTTGTTTTAAAATTGGTAAAACTTTTACCGAAACGTTTCAATTGATGGACCAGGTTTATGGCGATGATTGCCTATCCAGTAGCAGAGTGCACGAGTGGTTTCAAAGTGGTCGTGTGGACGTAAATTACGATCAACATGTGGGCCAATCAAAATTCGTGATCACCGAAAATTCCATCGAAACTGTGCGTGAATTCATAAAAAAAACCCGAAATCATCATTGAAATTGATGGCAATGGAATTGAACATCTCCAAAACATCGATTTATAGCATTTTGACCGAACATTTGGGCTTACGAAAGGTGTGTGCACGGTTTGTTCCGCACAAATTGACTGACGACCAAAAATTGCTCAGAATCCAACATTCGAAGGACATCAATGAGGTATTCTACCTTGGAGTTTTGAAGCGTTTGAATATCGCAGAAGATGAAAGTTGGCGTTTGTTGCACGATAATGCGCCGTCTCATCGATCGACGCTTGTGACCGAGTATTTGACCAAAAATCTCATTTTAACCATTAACCACTCGCCGTATTCACCTGATATGGCACCGTGCGACTTTTACCTTTTCGGAAAAATGCATTTGCCCATGAAAGGAAAGCGTTATGCAGACGTAGAGGCCATTCAAAAGGCTTGCACCGGCATACTGGCGGCCATACCGGCCAACGAGCTAAAACACTCGTTCGACATGCTTTTGGATCGTCCAAAAAGCTGTATTGAAGCAGAAGGAGACTATTTTGAATAAAATAAATTGATTTTGCCGAAAAAACCATTTGTTCTGTTTATTTTTTTTAAAGTCCTGTATACTTTGGAATACTCCTTGTATGTATGTATGTATATTTGAAGTGTATATAATTATGTTCTCCGAATAAATGTACATGCATATATATTTTTTGCTGTTTTGGTAAATTATCTTACATAGATTCCAAGAAGATTCTAAATGCAAACGCCACGCATATTTGTAAATGCACAACATTTTCTTCTAAACCGGTTTTCTTTCAGCTCTGACAGAAACTTTTATTGCTTTAACAAAAGGGTCGAGCAAATGTTGTTCTTCTTTTTCTAAATTCTAAGAAATTGTCTATGACTCCATCATTGCAGTAGTGTTTGAAATAGTTGCTTTATCTTTGGATTAAACGACAGGTTTAATAAGTCTCAAATGCTAAATAGCTTTTCTTATAGCAAAAAATATACATACATACTTACATGAAAAGTGTAAACAAATCCGAAACAAATCATTCAGGGAAACACATACCTTCTACTATGGCAAAACAATATGCATTTGCATGTGGATACGTTTGTTGTAAAAAAAAAATGTTATTTTATTGCCCAAAATAGAGTTGAAATGTCCGAATTATATATTGAACCACTGTACAAATAAAATACATAGTATCTCTCTCAATTGAACAAAAGTTCACCAAGCACTCATTATTTATGGCGCTGCATGAATGAAACAGGACTTAAATTATAGAAATACATTTATAAGTGATAAAAATGACTTTTTCTTTTGATCATGATCGAAGTGAATCATTGAAATGATTGGGAAGACGAATTTTCAATGTATCATAACTGGCTACGACTAACTTACGAGTAATTGTATTCAGTTTTTCATTATTTATGTATTATATCTTAGTAATGGCTTAGTGACTTAAAAATAGTAAAATGCGCGCTTTACAGACTAAACTATAGCTATGATATTTATTTTATAAGTACAACTGCTGCGTGTATGGTCTATATGCCATTGTACGTACATAAAACTTCATTTGTGTAGGGTCAGTACTGTTCAGAATTACACACAAAAAAAAAGTTTGATGGCTTTTGTGAATCAATAAACGGTCAGGTTAAATTAAACGAAAAAAAAATGCTTAAAGAAATTTATAAATGAAGGATTTTTCCTACATAACAATCTACTGCATCATCTGTAGAAACCGATTCTCCTCCAGCAGAGAACTCAATGATGTCTTCATGTCATTGATTATCATATTATGGCCAGGATGGGTCGAGCTGCTTACGTCCGGCCAAAGTGAGTTGTTGTTGTTGGCATTAAGATTGCCAACCGGATTAGGATTGTTGTGTTGCACAACGTTGGAATTGACGGTCGATTGAACGTGCGCATTATTGGTCTGCATCCAGTTCTGACAGCTCTGCACATACTCCAGTGTCCGCTGATACGTATCAGATTGCATTGTACTGTTTGTTTGATTCTCAGCATAGGCCTTTGGACCAAGGGCCGAGGGCATCTGTGCTGTTGTCGACGGTACTTCGCCGGGCTTGACGAGAGAACGTCCCTGTCTTCCTTGACAGCTGTGCATCGACTGGTCCTGGCTCAGAGGTTTTGTGGATGATGGCACTGCAGTAGCCGTCGGGGCATTCATGTTCATGGCAGGCGACATCTGCGACTGACTAATGACACCACATTGAATCTCATTGCCTCGACTTATTTGATGGTCCATCTCATTGTTGAGCTGTATGGGACAGTGTGCGGGTCCAGTAGTGGTGGCCACCTGGGTCGTAAGCTCTGGTAGACTGGTCATTGAAGAATCAATAATCTCATTCTGGGCCGTTCGCTGTGGCTCATATCCCAATGGTGCTGGCTGGGGTCGGCCTCCGTACATTTCATTGTCTGTTGCCCTTTGGGCAAAGTTGCAATAGACTGCCTGTTGCTGGCGGTGGGATGCATCATTCGTTTCATAGTTCCTCTGGGAGTACGGACTGCCCAGGGCTGACATGGTGTGTCCCGATTGTGGGGACATTAGCTGAGTCAAGGTCGACGGACTGCTTGGTATGCCCAGATGTGATGGGCTGTTCATGCGCAAAGCTGGTGACGACATCGGCAAATAGGCAGTCACGTTGTTGTTGTTGTTGTTGTTGGCCACATTGTTGCCAGCCGTATTGGCTCTGGTCTCTGGGGCAGTCTCTATAGCGGGCGTGGTAGCTGCTGGAGCCCCAGAGGCTCCTTCAGTACCATCCTGTACGAGATTCAGATACTGCAACATCTCATCGGGATAGATAAGATCATCGTCACCCTCCAGATCGTTCCCTTGGTTTTCAGTCGATGTTGCTGGCGCATTCGCACTACTGACATTTTCCTGATTTCTGACTGCATTCTCTTGTGCCATGGCAGGTCCAGTTCCAGCGCTCCCAGCTGTATAGCCGTTTGGCATTCTATTGCGAGAGCCAGAGTTTCGCATGCTCTGCATGGTGGCACTCAATGCTGAGGAGGTAATCATGCGCTCATAGTTGGAGAGATTCTGTTGGGCCCTTTGGACTGGCTCCGACTGGCGACGATTTATGCTACTCTGCAGCTGGCGAGAACCACTCAAATCGGGTCCGTTCAGCATGTGAGGAGAGTGTGAAATGTTGGGAATTGAGTAGCGGCCGCCGTTGGGCTGATATCCCAGGGACTCGGCCGATTGCAGGCGTTGCAGATGGGAGGCAATCACATGGGATGAAGGCGGAGGCGGCAGACTGGTGTTATGGCCAGAGAAGTAGGACATGCCCGGACCTCCAGTGATTCCTGCGTTGATTCCACGATGCATGCCTCCTGGCTGCATACTCTGGTGAACCTGAGCGGTTGCTACATCCGACATCTGACTGCAACGCCTCGAACAGCCGGGAGAGATGGGATCATAATAGCTGGTCGCTGTGGGCACCGGACGCATGGTCGACATGCTCGACTGTTGTGAAATGGCGCTGCTTCGTCGACTCGGCATGCTACAGTAGTACGTGCTGGCAATGGAATTCATGCTATCGCGTCGTATCTGAGGAGAACCCTGTTGCTGTTGCTGCTGCTGCTGCAGGGCGGATCCGACTTGGGTACCCGTCTGAATTGATGCGCGGGTCTGCAGCTCAGTCAGGTGGGGCGCAGTGGTGCCTGCTGGCAGGCGATTAGTCGAGATCATCGTTTGTGGCCCCACTGTGCCCGGCTCCATTTTGAGTTCAGTTATGCGCTGGGTTAATCTATTCATCTCCGGTATGTTTGAGAGTATTGGGCTGGTCGTATTTATGCCCTTGGTGGGGAGACGGGTGCGGATGCGTTGTCTGGCCATGGTTGCACCGCCACCACCCTGAGTAGCACCTCCTGCTCCATTACCATTGCCAATGTTCACCATAGCTCGCAGGACAATTGGCAGATGCATGGCATCAACATCGTCATCATAGGGCCAACCGTCATCCAGGACGGGCACGTTGTCGGACCCCAAATCATCCTGGCCATAGCCCATCATATAGCAGTCCGTAGGTGCGCCACCATGCATGCCGCCCTCATTGCCAGCATTACCATTCAGCTGGCGCGGCGAGTTGGCATCGGACTCGGACTTAATGCTGGGACTGGACACGCTTGTGGTCTTTCCCGAGTGCAGCTCATCACTACATGGACTCGAGTCGATATGATGATGCTGATCCTGCATGTGCTGTGAATTGTGATTCTGACGCAATGGATGTTGACCCCCGTCCAGACCGGAATTGGCATCGTGAAGGGGCAAGCCCTTGTGCTTCTTATTTGCATAGACTTCTGGACCATGAACCGTTTTCACGTGCTTGCGCAGCGAGCTAGGATCGGTGTAACGTTTGGTGCAGCCCTGCATCTTGCAAACATATGGTTTCTGGAAATGGACAATTGGAATGCACAGCCAAGGTCAGAAAAAATGTAGGTGAGCGGACCATTTTAAGGCACTTACCTCACTGCTGTGAGTTCGATTCTGATGTTTGGCCCGATCGCTGGCATTACTAAAAGCTTTGCTGCATCCCGGATACTCGCAGGTGTACGGCTTCTCACCTGTGTGCGAACGCAGATGGGTCTTGAGATTCTCCAAGCGCGAATAGGCCTTGTAGCAGCCCTCAAACTAAAGAGCGACAAATAAATTAAAAGAATTTAAAATTAAATAAAGCCAAATAAATGATACAATAAAATGCAAAAGGAGATCTGAAAAGCAAAGAGGAGGGATCTAAAGAGTCCTCGAAATAATACAAATTATACGAAATGGAATGCAACTGTTGGTATTCACTGCCAAGCCGTTCTGTATTAAGACCCACGAAAGAGAATATCAGAAGCTAAACTGATTGCCAGGTAATGATATGTGGACGTGACTTACCGTGCATTTATGTGGCTTTTCCCCGGTGTGTCGACGCATATGTACGACCAGCATGTACTGGGCCTTAAATGGCTTTTCGCCACGCGAACAATCCTCCCAACGGCAAACGAAGGCCTTCTTGTTAGTCTGAATGTGATCATTGATGATGTGCTTGACGAGCTCGTCCTGGGTTAGGAACTCAATGCCGCAATCCCGCCAATGACAATTCGTCTCAATGAAGTCACCAGGCTCGTCTTTAATATCCGTTGTGTCCGCTGTGGGACAATCGTAGTCGTTCAATGGAGTCGTAGTCGTCGTGGTAGTGGGTGTTGCCAGACCGAATTGCACTAGGTTGCGATCGGCCCCGCCCCCATACACGCCCCCATTGCCATTGCTGTTCGCCGCCTTGTTACGCTGCCGTCGCTCCAAAGCATTTGCAGATGCACTGTCTGCCTCGACCTGCGCGACGCTCTCCGATGTGGACGAAGGCTGTTCGATGGGTTTGCTTTTGGCCAATGCTGCGGCATTGCCTTCGTCATAGTTCTGCCAAATAGAATGCAAATTAGGACATAGGAACTCGTTTCATTTCGTCAACGTAATAACAGGCTAACACATGACTCCAATTGCCTCGAAAACTTTGGCAAAGAAGAAGAAACCTTGTAACTCCAATTGCAAGGAAATGAAGACAAATTTTGAATGTCAAAATAATATTCTTAATATATTCTTAGCTTAGGTTTACTTAGCGGGACTCAAGTGGTACCCCCTCGCTTACCTTAGTTGAGTCCGAGTGCTTGGGCTCCTCGGCACTTGATGGCGTCTGTCCAGGCAAGTGGAATTCCTTAGCATTTACCTCGCTGAGGCCCATAGCTGCTGCACTGGCCATATGGCTCATGGAGAAGGTGGCAGCTGCCGCTTGATGTGGCGTCATTGGATGCAGCAGTCCAGCGCTGGCGCGCAAGAGATGTGCCTGCAGCTGCTGCAGATGAGGAGCCATCGCTGAATGAGCCATGGGACTGATGGCACCAGCCGATAGATGGCCATAGGAACCGCTGGCTGCGCTGCTCGCGCGCGAACCATTCATAATTGTGGCCAGTGAATTGGGCGAGAATCGGATCATCGAGTTAATATCAAATGAATCCGAATATGGCGATGAGGACAAGGCACGTTTGCGGCTGATGCTGGCGCGAATGCTGCCACCACCCGTCCGGGGACTACTCAGGCGTCCATTGCCATCCAAACTAAAGTGGAAATCGGTGCTTGCCAGAGATCCCGCCGCGGCGGCGGCCGCTGCTGCCGCCGCGGCTGCATGATGCAGTTCACCCAACGAGCCGATGCCACGCGCGCTCAAGAACTCGCTCGAGCCCAGACCCAGTCCCGTCAGATGGAAAGCAGGTGCACAGTTTACATACGGATCTGGGAATAGGAGATTTCAAAAGTAACCGCAATTAGCATTATTTTGAAGATGCTGTGGGTTTTTCTCCCCAAGAAGTTCCAATTTGAATTCTCACATCCCATTAGCGATTTCTTTGAATTCGAACTGGTTTTACTCCTTCAGTACTTGTACAGTACGATCGAAAGATCGGATCACTTGGAGCTTTCTTAAGAGTTTCGATTGAGATGAGAAAGTATACAACTTCTATACCCTATAACCACAATCTGTCCAGACCTGTCCATCTCTCTGTAAGAGTAACCAAACTTGGTAGGGAAAATAGAGCCGTTTTATAGTAACTACCATAAGTCTGGGCATATTGTTTGTTTTCGAAATCACATTCTTTTATAGTGTACTTGTATATATGCTAGGTTTTATCTGGATAGAGCAGACAACTCGCTTAATCAGTTAATCATCCTTTTTTCTTTTTGGGGTTCAAAAAGGTGCCTTCCAATCTCATAATCTTACTGAAATATTTTAGTGGAATGTACTTACCATGAAAGGATGCTGTGGGACTGCTGCGCTGCAGCGAGTAAATGTGTTCCATATAGCTGGGAATTCTGTAGGCCGGATGAAAATCGTGTGGTGGCTGCGCCCCCAAGTTACCATGGACGTGCTGGTGGGGATGATGGTGCATCGCATTGCTGAGCAGCGTCTGGGCCTGGGCCTGAGCTTGGGCCTGAGCTTGGGCTTGTGCCTGGGCTTGGGCTTGTGCCTGGGCCTGGGCACTTGCATTGCCATTGGCATATGCACCGATATTTGCAGTTGTGGTGGGAGTCGCGTCCGGCGTTGCAGTCGTCGTTGTGGCATCGGACGGCATCGGATGGGTGCTGCCAACATCTGTTGGCGCATGATTGCTCACAGGCGAGCTGGGAAGCACTGTGGCGGCAGCAGTGACTGCTGCTGCCCGCCTTGAGGCGAGGAACTGCAGTTCCGAGTACCTAAAAATACATATATACATACATGTATGTAAGTACTTGTATTTCTGATGAGCAGCAAGGCTGGGCAAAAGACAAAAAAAAAAACAAAAAACGAAAAAAAAAAACAAAAAATACACATATTGTATGTACAAGTACATAAGGTACATGAAAAAATATGTGTATACATACATATTTATGTATGTATGGGTAAGAGAAGATACATTGTCAGCAGAATCGCGCTGCTCCTAATTCCCCGTTCCCTACTTCGTCAGGCATATGACAGCATAAAATCTTTCACCATGCTCGGGACAGTGGGTAAGAGCGTCCAACTAAACCTTCCGCCTTCCGCAGCCACCGTCCCCGCTGCCTTTTTGCATGAGCGTGCAGAAAAAGGGGCTCGGGTTTTGATTTATTATCGCTTCATTAGCGCCGTTTTTGAAGTCCGCAAGTCTTGTGGTAATTAAGAGAAACTATAAGCACGTTTTTTATTCGTACCCTTGTGATCTTAATACACATTTATGCATCATGCATCTGTATCTACATACTTGTAGGTATATCTGTATCTGTACCTGTATCTGTGCAGGGCCAGTCGAGCTCTGTCCAACTTCGAGCGACCTGAGTCGGAGTCGGAGTCTGAGTCTGAGTCGGTGGCGAGTATTTGTCATTAAAGCGGACGCTGACCACCAAACTGACAGACAAATGTGCGACTGGATGGTTTTTGATTGGCAAAAACCTCTTCCATTGAAAGCAAACAATGCAAAGCGATCTCAAGCAAAACTATCAAAAGTTTCACGCCGCACTTATTACAAAATTATGAAGGTGCGAGTTCACATCCCATTAATACAAGTATACATACTTACATATATGTACCTACAAACTTATGTATACATACACCATATACTATATACGTGAATCCAGGAACATGCATGCTATTGTGATATGAAAGACTGTTATATGAGTACATAATTATTTGTAATACTTATGTATATCTGTAGTCCACTGGACCACTGAGGGTCGCATTATCAAACGACCCTGCATATACATATAGTATGAATATATGACAGATCTTTTAATGAGTAGTCATCAACAGTTTGCGTTTGTGTGCGATTTCCGTACATACACAACCACACAGCATTCTTTATACTCTGCACATGAAATGTACAAGAGTATATTAGGCTTGCACGAGATGAAAAATGTAACAGGCAGAAGGAGGCGTTGCAGTATATATTTCTGTATATATATTCCTGATCAGCTTGACAAGACGAGCCGATCTATGTCTGTCTGTCTGAACACCTGGATCTCAGAGACTATAAGAGCTAGAGACACCAAATTTTGCACAAAGATGCCTTATGCGTGTACGCTCTGCAAGTTTGTTTTATTTTTTTGATTTTCCGCACCACCTCTCCTCTTAGGTGAGATTTCCCGATTTTCCCTTCATATAATCGCCTATATCTCAGAGAATTTAAGACCTACAAACACCAAATTTTAGACGCAGATGCCTTATGTGAATACGCAGAAAATGTGTATTTTGGAATTTTAATTTAATTTTTAAGGAATTTCAGACTTTAAATCTCGATTTGCCTTCACTTAGGTATTTGGTGTGAGAATCGCAGAGGAGGGCGGCCACAATATTTTTAAATTTAATTTAATTTATCAAAAATTAGAAAATTTAAATCTCGATTTGCCTTCACTTAGGTATTTGGTGTGAGAATCGCAGAGGAGGGCGACCACAATATTTTTAAAATTTAATTTAATTTATCAAAAATTAGAAAATTTAAATCTCGATTTGCTTTCACCTACGTACTTGGTACGAGAATCGCAGATGAGGGCGGCCACAATATTTATACTCCGTACATGAAATGCTATATCTCAGAGACCCAGATGCCTTATGTAAATGCCCAAAAAATATATATTATGGAATTTCCCTCCCTCCCCCTCTTCACCACAATTAGCGATTTTCCATAACTCGCGTAATTCTTGGACTTTCAAACTCAAATTAGGCAATTGCTTCCAGTTCTTGATTATGAGTCTGTATGCCAAGTTGCATAATAGACCGACTTAACAGCAAGTTATAGCCATATATGTATATCATCTTGCCCAATCACTGCCTGCAGCTGTTGTTGTTGTTGCTACTTTGCACAGGCACACACAAACATGCATAGACACGCATAATTATTTTACACATACTTGTATGTACATATGTACAGAGTATTTCAAATTCGAGACACCCGACTTTAACTTCTCCACTTGTTTTGTATACGAGTAGTAATGGAAACGAAACCTCGCATTGTCTCACCGTAGGACAAGATGATATACTTGTACATTCGTATAATCTCGTTATAATGTGATGACAAACAGTCTGAAAAATTATGCATCACTTATACGAGACCGCATTATCTGGAATGTGCATTTTCAAGTCAATTTGCTTTGAAGGCTCGCTTGACTCTTGAAAAACCAACAAAATTGTCCCTCTTTTGTGTACTTGTATTAATTAAAAATACAAAATTTCATTCACAGATATGCAATTCTTAATCACATGATCGATCAAATTTTACAGCTCAATCGCACTACCTTTTCAGTTGCAATTTGTTGGATCTACTTGTAGTTTAATTTCTGCATTAGTTATAGCTACTAGTTATATAGCAAGAAATCCAATTCTAAACTTTAAATTACATAATACAATATATATTTTATATTTTCTCTAGGACGTCCAACGAAAAATATACAAACCTTTCTTTCCTTTACTTTTCTTTCCTTTTTGCATAATGTGCTTATTAAAGTAGAAGAGTGTCTTTATGGGGTTACCAAAAGCAAAAGTCAAGTACGTTTATTGGGGTAAGTAGAGCTTGCAATACCAATTCACTTACACTTAGCCAAATCCCATGTCCCATTCCTGTCAGACTGATATACTTGAATATCTGCTCGTAGGGTCTAACACGCCCCCCTTTTTTCTTATTGTTATTATGTTGTGTATTTTTGGATGCCATAACGCTTTCGTTTCATCGATTTTTCAAAAATAAATAAGATTTTTGGAAATCACAACAGAAATCAGTTTCACTTCTGTACATTTCAGATAATCAAGAGTATATACGAGAATGTATGTGTATACTTATATCCATAAATAAATAGTGGGAGTACTTACATAAAAAGGAGAGCCTGAAATCCACCTGTATTATTTACGGAGTTAAGGTAAGTACGATCGAACCGATCACAGTTAATTTTTGAACTGCTGTGTCTTGGCGGCTTCGAGCGACATTTTGCAAGAATAAAAAGTGTCTGAGCGACCACCCTAAAGCTCTCTATACGTAGAACTATAAAAATGTTTGCCCGATAGGAATTTTAATGGCATACAAAATATATACTTGTACTTATTTGCACAAGTCCGAAACGAGAATGATTACCCGGCCTCTGACTCTGACTCTGGCTCTGGCTCTGGATCTAACTACTCGTATGTATAGTATATGTATGGCGGTTGTTTGTTTTACGAGACTGAGACCCCCATATGAGGTGTAATATGTATGCAGGAGAGCACGTACCTACAATTAAAATGAACCGCACGCCTGCGCAGAATTTTTTGTTTGTACTCGCAAGCTTGTGGCGCAATATAGTATTTCCAGATCTTGGAATTGTCTAATGCCGTCGGACCAATAGCCATAGCTACACTCACATCTACAACAGGTATAAGGAGCAGGCAACAATGATGGCTGGCTCTCTGTCAGCCATTTATAGATGACCATATTTGATTTAAAATTGGGGAAACCGATTCCGATATTCCACGCCCCCTCCTCGCCAATAACGAAACTGTTCACCTCACCTCACTAATCTAATGCTCTGATACGGACAAAATGCTTTCCACGAGCCCTTTTCTGAACGTTTCTATATAGTGTGCATATGTACATAATTGCGTTCAAGTGTGTGTCTGTGGTATGTACTTGTGTTGGTGCGAGTATGTATGTATGTATGTTTGATTGTTCGTATGTATGTATGTATGTATGTATGTATGCTTCGAAGACATGAACAGGCGAAACGAAGATGCTCGCCTGACTTAATAACTTTATAAAATTTGAAAGCATGTACATACAGACACACACACACACACACACAGAGGAGAGGCATTTATGCTACAAGAGTACGTGTGTAGCATAAATGCATAAAGCAGAGGCAGACACACTCACACACACACACACACACACACAAACATTTATATACAGATGTAGAGAGTGTATACGAAATATAAACTATTGGGACTACTGTGTCTGCGTGTGCGTGTGTGTGTGTCTGCGTGTGTGTGTGTGTGTGTGTGTGTGCTGAAACTGGTTTCAAAGAACAACAACAACAACTCGAGTGAAATAAAATGACGCCGTTGTTGGTATTGTTGATAATGACGGTGACGAAGACATCGACCGAACGAAGCCCAAGCCATATCCCAAGACTAAGACCAAGACCAAGACCCAAACCTAAACCCGAACCCGAAGTGAGGTAAAAGCAGAATGGAAGCAAAGCTCTTCACTGCGGCGGTGGCAGCGGCGGCGGCGGCGGCCTGGCATTATTATATCTGACCAAGCTGAGGTCTCAATTAAGTTCGTTTAACGAAAACGCTGAACATGAACATTGCTTCGATCGGCTAGCCACGGGCCGTCAGTTACTTCTGTTGTTATTGCTGTTATTGTTGTTGTTGTTGTTGTTGTTGCCGTGCTGCTCCTCATCTTCTACTTGTTGTTGATTTTTTTATTATTGTTGCTGTTGCCGTTGCGTTGCTGTTGTTGCTGTTGTTGTTGTTGTTGTCGCCGCTGTTGTCTTTCTTGGTTGATGGCTTCGTTTAGTGAACTTTGTTTGACTGCCCGCCCAAATGAACAAAACATGCAAATATTCACATACACACATACATACATATTTACTTAGAGAGTTCGTCCTGCGGAAATCCACGAGCATTCAAATCAAGGCAGCCAACCATCCATACACACAGAGTTTTCCAATTTCCCCACATGTTGCCAACACGGCCAAAGCATGGTCGTACATTGTACAGTTCGTGTACTTAACATTCAAGGAGTATTTGAAGATGAAAATAAAAACAACACATTCCCAAATCACACACTCACATATACATGTGTATGTGTGCGTGCACACATCCATAAATATGTACATATGTATCGCTCTGGGCAGCATAAACAATTTGAAAACAATATCTTTATTTTTGCATTTCAGACTGACCAGACCCATGAAAAGCACAATTCATGCTTTTTATATCCAATTTCCAAGTAGCTCGTCAGTAATGCCTATAAATTGGACAAAATAAAGTAAACTCCAAACATAAAATACTTGTAGTATCTTAAAAGCGCTTCAAATGGCCACGGAAGGTTATTGTAAATTTACAATTGGTAAATAAAAAAGTTTCAATTGCAAAAAAACTAAAGCAAACAAGCACTATAATATTCAATATTTTGAACATTACTTAGAACACTTTATTTTATTTATCATTCCCCTGAATGAAGTAGCTCTCTTTTGTTTTGTGTTCAAGACAGTATGTAGCTCACACTTTTGTAGAACTACCCAAAATATTAATATTCTAAACGTTCAGACCCTAACATTTTATCTGACATACCATTTATTCTGTTTTGAAAATGAATTTGTTGCCATTTCTGAATTTATTTTCAATTGCGGTCGAACTGCAAAATTGAAGTGCGTTTTTCAGTTTCGTTTAACAATACTTTGTTCTATTTGTCGCTTTTTAAAAATAAAGGTTTCCCGATCCGTAGCTAAAATTGCTCAGTGTTTCTTATTTCTTAATTTTAAATTGAAATCGAATTGCTTACAAACTAAAAAAAATATGGTAATAAACAAACCTTAAAACAAGAGAGAACGCTATAGTCGAGCAAGCCCGACAGTGAAATACCCTGTACTCAGACAAACATCTTATACTGAGTTATAACGCTTCTAGCAGAAGCAAAAAGAAGAAGAAGAGCGAATGCAATTGTTTCGCTAATAACTTTGCTTAGAATTAACCGAATTGGATGAAATTTTAAACAAAGTCGGTAATTACATAAAGGTAGATTCTGCAAAGTTTGGTTTATGTAGCTTTTGAAATGTGGACAGTATTGACGAAATTCTGTAGCAGGGAAAGGGGAGAAATCCCTAAATTATAATATACTCGTATAGACTAGGGACTAGGAGCGTCTGCATGCCAAGTTTGGCTCATGTGCACTCAGCTGTTTCCAAAATCAAGGCGTTCGTCTAGAAAGACAGACGGACGGAGATGTCATAAATTTCTCTCGTCACGCTGATCAAGAATATACAAGTATAAACTTTATGGTGTCGAAGATGCTTCCATCTGCCTGTTACATACTTTGCATAAGCCCAATATACCCTTTTTACCCTACGGGTTCACCCGCAAAAAGCAAACAAAATGATGGGTTCGTGTACTTCATTCTTCCGGTTTAATTTTGAAGCTACGAGAAAATTAAATTTGTCTTTATATTGATTAAGTGCTTACAGGAGACCGTATTTTATTGAAATTAAAGGAGATCATAAAATTTGTATTTATTTATTTAATTTTTATATCTTTTTATTCATTCATTTCATTTTCTATTTGTTTAGTGACCAAAGATGGTTTTTAGGCAGCTTTCGGCAGCAAACCCAAAAAGTTAAACCTAAAAGTATGCTACTTCTAATTTAAGTTGTGCTCCAGTGCCACTGAAGGGTTAATTGCTATAAAATGCATCGAATAGTTTCAACCGAAATACTTTTCGTTCGCAAAAATGAAGGTAATTTTATCGGCTGACTCGCTTTTTAACACATTTAATAACAGATCAGTATGGTTATTTGGCTGCTTGTATTATGTATTGGTAGAAACGTTAAGAATATATAGTATTATATTAAAGTCAACTTTATTTATGGGAGTTCTATAAACAAAACAAAAAATATAACAGCTCTAATACTATATATATATTGGCCATATTATGATTCTGACTCTGTTAATCAAATACTTAGTTATTATTACTAAAAGATGTCATTTTAAGAATGGGAATTTCTGTGAAATAATAGAATTATGTCTACAAAAAAGCTGGTAAATTATTGGAATTTCTGTTGTTAAAGTTTGTTTGTTTTGTTCCTTTTTAAAGGATATTTCCACATTAATCCATGTAAAGAGAAAAAACTGTGAACTGCGTGGCATTGGCGCATAAATACACAATTCATATAAAGAATCTCCAAAGCCTACGGCTAAGAAGATGAATCGTTTGAAATGAATTGCCGCGTTGTCGTAAATAACAGCTCTACTTTTCTATCAAAATAAGTGAAATTCAAATAAAAGGTCAGAAGTTTACCTTAGCGTAATACTTCTTTGTCGAATATACAGGTTAAGTGGGCAACACACCGGAAGTGCGAATGTAGATATCTATATTGTCTTGTAATGGGGGGGGGGGGGGGGAGGGGAAGCAATTATTTTAGATAACGCACCCGTACATAAAGCATCATAAAGCATTTTAGTTTGAGACTTAAGCCTCGAAATGCAAATTAAGGATACGTGGAATAGTGGAACTTTTTGAACACATCCGCCTATACACACGAGTATGATTTGGAAAAGTATTCGAATTTGAATACTCGTGAGTGCACTCGTGTGCATAAATGTTGTACATATTTCAATCGTATTGCCTATACGAGTATGGTTAAGTGGTGGGCTTGTACCGATTGTATACCTTTTAGACCTGTACGATATACCTGTGCGAGCATTATGTCATAGCAGCATGTGAAATGTCACAAAAGGTCAGCCTGGGCAGGTAAATGCCACCTCTCCGAAACGAATTTGACGAAGTTGCATGCATTCATGAATACTATAGTACAAGCATATATTGTATGTCGTCTTCGGAATTCAAGCGAACAGGGGAAATGGACGGGCACCGCTTCGTAGAGTACTAACCGAGCAGAGCGTCAGTTCAACGATCTAATTTAAGCAAAAACGGACGTGCTCAACAACAACAACAACAACAACCACAACGGCAGCAACAACACTTTATTTTCGCAAAAACATGGCGGTCTCTCCGTCTCCTGCGCATGACGAACAAAGGCGAATTCTTGCCTACCCGCATCCCTACGAAGGAAATGTGAGGAAAACTCGTTATTGAAAGGAAGATGTGAAGGGCTCTATATGGAGGGACAACGAGCGATTTGTTCCATTTATTTTACGGCAGCATCCATGCCTCAATCCGCGCCCAACGTGTTGCTATGAACAGTAATTATGTGAGGCAAAATGAATTAATTTATAGCGTCCCAATTAAGTAGTTAGTGCATTGAACAGATTTTTGATCACTAATCAGTGCCTGAGAAAGGAGCTGCAAGGTTCTTTTAATTTATTGCTGATGATATTATGTTGGTACCTAATAAATGGACGTTTCGTTAACTCTCGATGTTCACTTATCTTGGTAAAATGATCTTACATATGTATATGAACAGATGATAAACATAGATATGACATGAATTCAGAGATCGAGATGAGTATCTTGAAGGATTTTTAGCAATCAGAACCACTTATAAGACTCCTTCTAAATATGACCTTATTCAGTGATTTGTAGGAACGCTGAAGAACATCTTCAAACAAACAATGTTCTAACAAGTAAAAAGGTTATGTTGAGTCTGGAATATGTTCCTACACAGGCAGTCCACGAATGTTAGTTCAATCTAAAAACGTAAATCCCAAATGTGATCTTGTGGTATTCTAACAGCGTTTAAATGGGTATTATGTTCTAACAAGCTTCAAAGTTAAGGTAATTATGACTGAGTTATGAATTTGTTAGGTACTCTAACGGATGGTTTTTAAATGTAAAACCAAGCATCCCAAATCTGATCTTCTTCTGGTATTCTAATAATGCTCATGTTTATATCATAATAAAATCCCTTTGGACTCATTGAACAGCGTTCATACTTGTAGCTAGAATTATATTTGGAATCATGGATCTCAAAGCCAGTAACGTAAAACTAAAGCTAGTATGTATACTGATTGAGTCTCTTTGGGGACTCTAAACAATTAGTGTTCTAGAATGTATGATTGAGTCATATCCAGGGTAATCCTCGTGGATCCCAGAGAATGTTTCTTAAGTGTGAAAGTATAACATCAAAGTTATCAATGATATGGATCTCTCAATAGATACTTACGCCAGTGGGAAGTACGTTGGCAATGTATATGCGTCCATTTTGATTGCAATGAGATTGCTTGTGTCTTGAGTATCACTAGTAGGCCCGTTTCCGGATCGATTGCTATGTTCATTGCGGTCTTCACTTGCCGTCGGTAATGCAACAGCAGTCGAATATTTTTACGAGCGCGCACATTTCCTCGAATGATCGATCGGCGATTTGTTGTTGGTGGTGCTGGTGGTGATGGTGGCAGAGGCGGAGGCCGCGGCGTAGGTTACGACGAAGATATGTAAGACGACGATTCGGAGATTTGAAGATTTGGAAGACTCGTCATATAAGTTGGCCTGCCACGGCAGAACTCGATGGATACACTCGACAGAAAACTGGCAGCAACTTCATTAGAATTTCATTATTTTTAGCACTTTTATTTCTTGTGTGTTATATTCTAGGCGAGACGAGGAGGCGAGACGAGGTGGCGTTGCGGCGAGGCGGTGGCGGTGGCGGAGGCGCGTGTGTGTCTCTTTTTTCAATATGCGCGGATGTGGATGTTGATGTTGATGTTAATGTTAAATGTTGAATGTGTCCGTGTCCGCGTGTTGTTTTTGTTGTTGTTTGTATTGTTGTTGCTGGGCGCGCGCATGCGAATGTATATACAGAAGCAGCAACAGCATCAGCAGCATATGTATGTACGAATAGTATTTAGGGTGCGCATTACCATTACCGCCCGATTAGTCAAATAGTCACATATGGGTATGCGCATGCATATACATGTACATATATATAAATATTGAGATACGGATACGCATCATTTCGCCAGCGAATAATTATGTTTGCGATTGGGGCGCGTAATAAAGCGCTTAATTTGTACTAACTGAAGGCAGCGTTCGAACAAAAAATAAATAAATAAAAAACAAAAAAAAATTAATTATGTGTGACAAAGTCAATAACGGGCGTGCGTCTTGCTGCCGCGTTTATTCCGAACGGACTGAGCAGCAGCAGCTCTTGCAATGCCTCGCTTGCTGTAGCTGGAGCAGCTAGCAGCGCTGCGCTCACTTGCCACGCACACCCATGCGACGTCGTCACCAGACACATTTACACATCGTATACAGACACAGACCACGCACAAACACATAGATACACAGATTCACACCGAGGCGGACGCGTGCACGTGCATACACATATACACAGAAGCGAATAGACACACAGACTGATACAAGTACTCTTCCATCTAAATACATACATACGCACACACATGCATACATATACGAGACAATACAGTAGACACAGGTCACGATCCTACTACCTCTACCCGCTCACCGACTACAACAACACCAACATCAGCAACAGCACTAAGCGGAGGCGGCTAGCATCGAAGATGGCCATACGAATACAAAGGAAGATCGACCGAGACCGACCCAGCGGCGCTCACAAGAAAAACACACATACACACACACACACACGCAGCATGTGCTCTCTCTCTCTCCCTCTTTCGCTCTCTGTTGCTTTTGCCTGCTGTGGCTATGGCTGTGGCTCTTGGGCTGGCACGGCTCTCTGTTTGGCGCGCCGACGGTTACAATTCGACCTGTTCCCAATTACGATCAGTTTAACACGATCACGAAAATATTTCCGATTCATTTTCGTTTTGTTGTACCTATTCGACATTAAGGTTTTTCTGTTTCAAATGCTTCTCGAACCTTCAAATTGTCCCATTGCTAATTGAAAGAAATTCACAAAAGTAGAAGTACGAAAACTTTGAATTTCAATTCCGATAAATTCGTATATATTGAAAACCAAAACAAACTAACACCACTAAAAACAAAATCATATTTCGATTTTAAAAATGAAGACCAAACTTGCTAGATAAATAAAAGGAAACGAATAAGTCCACAATAAGCAGATTAAATTTATATATGTATGTATATATGTACATATGTATGTACCTCCGAAGTTAGCCAGTGCTATTCCTAATTGCTGTTTTAAATCCGATGAGGAGTTCACATTAAAAACCTGCGATGGGACAAACAAAACTGCGAAATATACGGGCAAACTGGGTGTTGTTTTATTACAATAAAATAAGATTTGAATATAGATTTTGTCTAGGTTACTGGAGAGCTCGTTTTTCTTGCAGTTAATAATTCGAGCATGCATACATACATACTTGTATATCACATTTTTTGCATATTTCCGCTTGTAAGGCGATTTTGATCAAATTCAAAGATATCATAATGCTTAACGTTTTAATCAGCCTGCAGTAAAACAAATTAAAAGTTGAAGTGGTGATTTACAAGAACATAAAACAAAATCGGTGCTTTTAAAAGACATCGAAACAATCAACTGTAAACTAAATAGTTGTCCTCTGAGATACGTAACGGACAACCACTTCCGACAGAAAACCCTCTGATCGTTTTGCGGAATTCAGAGCAGCGTTCATTTTCGCGTTCACGAAATTTCATCGAAATCGAAATTGCGAACAGGGTTGAATATAAATATCTGCGCGCTAGCAATGGCCAAATCGGACATGAGACTCATGGACGACAGTGGCATTGCCGAGTGCCGACTGCCGAGTGGCGAGTGGCGTTGATGGTGATGGTGCTGCGGAGATGGAGATGGAAATGGCGATGGCGATGGTTGAGTCTGTGGACTTAAGCTTCACAACCTCACAACAACACAAGCTGCTACTTGTTATGCGGCGGACGTGCACACTGCGCAGTGCAAACGTTGTCGTTGTTCTTGTTGCTGTTGTTGTTGTTGTTGTCGACAACAACAAACGGCGCGCGCGATGTCTTAGGCGCACCCACAGACCCAGACCACTTCCGCGCGCACTCTCCTCCTTGGGACCGAGGCTCGGGCTCGGCTCGGCTCAGTCTGTTTTCTCTCTCCTCTTGACTCTTGCTATTAATGTCTCTCTCCCTCTCTCTCGCTCTCTGTCTATCTGTCTGCCGGTCTGTCTGTCTGTCCGTTTCTTTGCTCAATTAATGCAACAAAATGCTCTTTTTATGAAGAAATTACCCGGCTACATCCGGGTTTGAAATGGGCAAGGTACGTGATTTTAGGTAACGATCAATAATCCCCCATCATGATTCTATGGCCATGCCCATCAACAATATCGCTTTGATATGATATTCCCTGCACAGGTGATGTTATACTCTACATGTATGTATGAGCGTATGTATTTACGAGTATGTGTGTGTGTGCTTACATGGAGGGAACAATCCTAAATGCTATTGAGAATGAAAAGTGCAAAATACTCTGACAGAAATCCGAAACAACATCCGATCCGAATCCATGCATGGCTTATAGATTACCAAATGAGGCATAGTTCAACAAACGTAGCAATTGAGATAGGACTTCCAGTATGTACACATATGTATGTATGTATGTATGTACTTGTATGTACTAACACGAGTAAGTATGCAAGTATTTATGTATGAATGGATGTATGTACATACATACATACAATATTTGAAGTATTAGTTAACTTTCAATTTTCTGAATTGTTGGGGGCACACAAACAAAGACAACAAATATTTGCCCAATCTGTGAGAGCAGCCGAAGCAACAGCAGAAGCAGCAACAGCAGCGCAGCAGCCGAAGAAGTTTTCAGTATTTGGTAGCGAAGTTTGCATTTTGGTAGGAGTAGGAACTCTTAACTTCACTTCACTGAACAAGCCGAGTTTGTTTTGTTTCTTCTTTTTTTTTTAGCTCGATGGCTTTGTCAACCAATATAGCAAATTAGCGACTTGTTGCCCATCGGCACATCCACATCCACGTTGGTCCCATCGGTCCCAACGGTCCCATCCATCGGTCGTGTGTACATAATGCGCATGCGTGCACCTACAAATTAATGTTTGCTCGAGAGGTGTGTGTTTTATTTTCAGCAGAATAGCCACCGAAAATCCACACGAGCTGCCAAAGAAAAAGTCCCTATCTACATAAGCAAACAACAATATACTTGTATGCATACAAACTATATATCCCCCGATAATTTCGCCAATTCGCCAACAAAAGAATTTGTCACCTTATGTACCATGTTTGTACATAGGGGAAAAGGATTATAATTATGGGTAGCTTCATCTAAAGTGTTCCAGATCTTTGAAACGTTCATAGCAACTGTTCTTTTCATTTCTAAATTTTAAAATAGCTCAGAACATACTTGTAATTTAATATACAGTATATATGAATAAATATACTTGTACTATAATTGCTAACTAATATGTATGTTGAAAACCACTTCAAAAATGAAAAGTCTACAAAACCTGTTAGCTTTTTTATTTCCAATTGAAAACAGAACTTTGAATGCTTTGAAGCATGCCAAAAAAAACCATTTAACAAGACCAATAAAATGCCAAACATAATTTTTCACACAGCTTCCAGAAAAGAAGAAAAACAAATAATAGAATTAAATACTTTACATTCTTTATAGAGCCGGTCAATATCTAAACTCTTTAAGGAGAACTGAAAGGATGATCCTGCACAGTTGGGAATATTATTTCATTTACGCAAAAGAGAGTCAAGTTGTCTTTATGCGATAAGTCATTCCCTTTTCCGCTCATTTCTGATGGAAAGTAAAGATTAAGATTGCTAGGTAGATTTTTGGGAAATTCTGATGCAATATTCCTCATATCCTTAACTTCAGCGCAGCCCTCTTAGAGTCCTTAAGTATTCGGCCAGACCTTAGTCCTTCTGACAATAGTTCTGTCATACTTGTATAACACTGCTAGAAACTGATAGAAATATAACATAGTATACTAATATGTAATATTTATAACAAAAGAGTGCTGAAGTTAAAGAAAAAATCACTGCCTAGTGAATGGAGGAGGCATTCATTTGCACAATTATCGGAGAGCCGAGCTCTAAGCCTGGCTTCCAAATGTCACTTGCCATGCATTAAATGGCAGAGTAAGTAAGGCGTTAAGTCAATCGATTCACGATCCTTAACCCTTTGCACAAACAGAGAGACAAGCAAACAAACGAACAGGTAATGGATCCCCATGGATAATTTCGCTTTGGCGCAGCCACTGCCTTGCCCCCAGTGGCCCTCACATGGGTATCCCAATCGCTCGATATTGTTGGCTGAAACGTGCAACAAAATGGGCGTAGCGTGACGAAATTTCAACGATGAGCGAAAAGAATCGCTGTTTAGTTTAATTGTCCCATATTATAACGTACTTTTCTGCACAGATTGAGGCATCAATGTAGCTCTACATTCAGACATTCAGACATTCAGACATGAAGA